CAGTAGCAGACAGGCTATGAAATGTAACTTCAAGAAAGCAGTAAAGTACCAGCTGTTGCAGAGGGCCTGGGTAGACCGAGGATCACAAAGGCCTACTTAATGTGGCAGTGAGCCTGGGGAGCAGCAGGGATGAAAACTTTTTTGCAGCCCCCCATTCCTTCCATCAGAATGGCTTTCTATTTTCCACTTCCGTATCCAAATAATTAGCAAATAATCACAAATAATTGTAATTAAATGCAAAATCAAATAGGCACATTTATGCAATACTAAGGAGTGACTTCTTTCCCAATTTGTCAGGTTTACAATAATGTAAATATCAGGTTAAAAAACAGAAATGTTCAGGTTCTAACGAAATCGTTCCCTTTCTCATTTTGCTTCCATGTGATATTTTAGGTTATTCCTGTAGCTATTAATAGTGCTCTAATCCACACAATTTGGGAGCAGATTGTCGCCTCGGAGGACTTTAGATTGGATGCACACTTGCCTCTATTTCTATGAAAATTTCATGTTTCTTAAATGTCATTTTTTGAACTTTAGATATGCGAACTTAGTGTGAGACTCTAAAATGCACTGATTTCTTTTTACAGCCATGATTAGATTTGTTTAAATAATTGGTCAGTTCTGACAGTTGTATTAAAATCTTTCAAAAAAAAAAAAAGATAGAAACCAGAACATGCTATCTAAAGTATACATCCTCTCCTGTTGTTTTGGAAAGCCGGTGGCACATACTTCATATGTAAGACCCTCATTCTTAGGACACTTACATATGGACCATCGAGTGCTGGCTACACATTTTTATATAAACTTGATCTTCCATAGCTCAGCTGCTTTGCCGAGGCACAGTCCCGGGGAAGGTTGCCCGGATTCTCAGTTTAGCATAACATTTGAGTGATACAGCACAGTATTCCTGTTCATATAAATATTTTAAGTTGAAAAAACCCCTTTTGTTATTTTTCTCTCTGCCTAAGAAATACTTTCGTGAACTCTTCCCATAACAGAGCAGTTCGTTGACTTCAGTAACCCTGCAGAGAGACAAGGACAGCCTCTTGGCACTGCCGGTTTTCCACAACTAAAGCACTGAGAGAATATGCAGAACCACACCACTTTTAGGTGAATAGAGAGGTCCTTATTTCCTTTCGACTGTACATCCTTTCTCCTTCCCAGTTCCGGATGTGGGAAAAGTTAACACTGGAGTTAATAAGGAAGTAGGTGTGTGATCACACCATTAACCTCAGAGAGCCTACTTTGGAGTTTCCAGTTTCCTTCCCATTTGTGGTTGGAGTGTGATGTGTAATCTGGAGTTTCATCCAATAGTTACTTCTTTGAAGGCATCTGTGACTAATTCCAGCCACAAGTTCTCTTCTCTTCCTTCCTTGTCTTCCTTTTTGCATTGTGTGTGTGTGAGAGAGGTTTATCTTTTTCCTTTATCCTCCTATGTTTTCTATTTATTCATTCACGTATTTATCTCTCTTCATTTATCTTGCTAACTTACAGAATACTACAGAACAAGGATTAGATATTTTTCTCTTGTTTTTCATTTCAAAGTACCTAGTGAGAGATAAGAGTATCTAGGCATAAAAGAAGTGTTTAACGAGCACTCATGGATGAATTATGTTAGGACAGAAAACCAGATGCCAGGATCTGATGTTGTACCCTTTCTTCCTGAATAATGCATTTTGCTCAGCATTTAACACCCCAACCTTCACTGGGGATCCACGAACAGACCAAAAATTTAGTGTGTGTTTGTGTGTGAGAGAAAATATGTGTGGATGTGTGGTGTGTGCATGTGCCCAGTCTGCAGCCTGGATCAGAGTCAAAGGGGTTCAATCCTCAAAAGTTCAGGGAAGGAGTTCTTTTTTTTTTTTCCCTTCCCTCCCCCGGGAAGGAGTTCTTTCCTTTCCTCCCCCGGGAAGGAGTTCTTGCTGCTGGCAGATGAAGTTTGAGATGGAGTTTCACTCTTGTTACCCAGGCTGGAGTGCAATGGCGCGATCTCAGCTTACGGCAGCCTCCGCCTCCTGGGTCCAAGCGATTCTTCTGCCTCAGCCTCCTGAGTAGCTGGGATTACAGGCACGCGCCACCATTCCCAGCTAATTTTGTATTTTTGGTAGAGACGGGGTTTCTCCATGTTGGTCAGACAGGACTCAGACTGTTTTGGAACCAGTCAGGGTCTTGCAGACATGAGAAAATGTATCACTAAAAGTTTTAGAGGCCAGTTGTGGTGACTCACACCCGTAATCCCAGCACTTTGGGAGGCTGAGTTGGGAGGATTACTTCAGGCCAGGAGTTTGAGACCGTCTTGGGCAACATAGCCGGACCCATTTCTACAAAAAATAAAAAAAAATAGCTGGACGTGATGGTACATGCCTGTAGTACCAATTACTAGGAAGGCTGAGAAGGGAAGATCACTTGAACCCAGGAATTTGACCTTTCAGTGAGCAATGATTGTATCATTCACTGCAGCTTGGGCTGCAGAGTGAGACCGTTTCTCATAAACAAACAAACAAGCGCCTTAGAGATAAGATGAGATGGAATAAGGAGGGCTCTGAGTTGGCCAAAAATCAAAGTTCAATTTTACTAGAAAACTCTGGGGCCTAGTTATACACAGAGAACCTCGGTGGTTATCAAATACAACCCAAGCAGGGTGTTTGGCCTGGCCTTCCTCCAGGACTGTGCCTCTAATGGGTATTTCAGTTATGAGTCCTGACAACAATGATTTTTTTAATGTATTCTGGCCATTAATGGGTGACATGGAGGCAAACACTTAGTAGTCAACATTATAGAGTAAGAAGAAGAAAAGCTGGAAGAAGAGGAGAAGAAAGACAAAGATTTAACAGAATAAAGACGGTAGAGTAGGAAACTGGCTCTGAAATATATTAATATAAAGGATTATGGCGATTGAATGAAAAGCCTCCTAAGGCTTCATAAAGGGAAAATCGTTCACTAAGCTGGAAATAGAAAAAAGAATAATTTTAAGTGCACGTTTCAGATAAATTATCTTAGTTCATTTAGTACCAATATTTCTAATGAACACTTAGGGCTGATATGAATCATTTCTCTGCTGACTCCATTAAGAAGCCTATTGGGCATGCAATTTGAGTGGGATTACAGAGAGAGATGTTGAGAGATCTGTGATTTAGAAGGTGGGCAGCTCTTCTCTGATAGGTTTGAGTGTCCTCTAACTCCATGAAGAGAGGGTCTGACAAGCTCAGCTGCAGAGGCAGGCTCTGGTTAAGACAGGCAGCATTGGGTCCTTCACCGAGTGGCTGGCTCAGAGGAAATTCACACTGGTGATTCACTCATTGCCATGGTAACCACTTGAATGCAGAGAAGTACATT